AAACGCCTTCCTGCTCCTCTGATGCTGCTTGGCCTGCTGTGTTCATCCAGCTCTACACCTTGTTATCTCTGGCCTTGGAGTAAGATGGCTTTTTCCTTTTCAGTGGCATTACAGCAATTTGAAGAAGTTAAGCAAGTGTTAGGAATACATGTTAAGGTCCAGAAGTGACATTATACTAGAATGCACTCATCCAACTACTGATGTCATATTAGCCTTAGTTTTGCAAGCTTTGTGTAACACTAACACCAGGGTAATTAAATCTTATTCACCTTTGAGGTTTTCTATCTGACCTGAATGAAATACTACTTCAGAGGCAAGTCAACATCAATGCTTTAGGTTGAGCATCGCTGGAAAGAATTGAAGTCAATTGATGACTTATTTTGCTCATGTGATATAATTTTCTAATGAAATAAAGACCTTTCAGGTTTTCTGTTATTCAGTCGGTTAATTAACTGAGTGAGGCAGAACAAGGGTGCACGTAAAGAAGCATTTTGTGTTTGTTTGATGATTAGAAGAGCAGCAAATTGATTGTGGCTGTGATTTGGATGATCAACAGTTCAGTCTGAATGAGAGCTCAAAGAAGGCTCCAATTGGATCTGTGTTCCAGAAGACCATATGATGTAAGAGCAGAGGTAGGCCATTCATCCCATTGAATCTGCTCTCTGTTATATGAGATCATGGTTGATCTGAAAAGCCTCAACTCTCCTTGAACTTAAGGGAATGGAAATATAAGCTGTGACCAGCAGTATACCACAAGGATCGATGTTGGGTCCCATGATTTTTGCCATTTATATAAATGATTTGGATTTGAACATAGGAGGTACGTTAGTAAGTTTGCAGATGACACCAAAATTAGAGGTGTAGTGGAAAGTGAAAAAGGTTACCTCAGAATACAATGGGATCTTGATCAGATGGGTCAATGGGCCAAGGAGTGGCAGATGGACTTTAATTTAGATAAATGTGGGGGCTGCAGTTTGGAAAGGCAAATCAGGGCAGGATTTATATACTTAATTGGAAGGTCCTGGGGAGTGTTGCTGAACAAAGAGACCTTGGAGTACAAATTCATATTTCCTTGAAAGTGGAGTCGTAGGTAGACAGGAAAGTGAAGAAGGCATGAGAACAAAGTTTCTGGAAAAGTTCAGAGATAGTAGGAACAGCAGATGCTGGAGAATCTGAGATAACAAGGTGTAGAGCTGGATGAACACAGCAGGCCAAGCAGCATCAGAGGAGCAGGAAGGCTGATGTTTCGGGCCTAGACCCTAGTTCAGCAGGTCTGGCAGCATCTGTGAAGGGAAAAACAGAGTTAACATCTCACGTCCGGTGACTTTTCTTCAGAAGAAGGCATTTATTGGACAGTGCATTGAGTATGGGGGTTGGGAGGTTATGTTGTGCCTGTACAGAATATTGTTTAGGCAACTGTTGGAGTATTGTGTGCAATTCTGGTGTCCATGCTTTAAGAAGCATGTTGTGAAACTTGAAAGGGTTCAGAAAAGATTTACAAGGATGTTGCTAGGGTTGGAGAGTTTGAGCCATGGTGAGAAGCCAAATAGGCTGGGGCTAATTTTCCTTGAAGCACTTGAGATTGAGGGGTGACCTTACAGAGATTTATAAAATTATGAGGGGCATGGATAGGGTGAACAGACAAGGTGTTTTCCCTAGACTGGGCGAGTCCAAAACAAGAGGGCATAGGTTCAAGGTGAGAAGGGCAAAAGGGACCTAAGGGACAACTTTTTCTCCAGAGGGTGGTGCATGTATGGAATGAGCTGCCAGAGAAGGTGGTGGAGGCTGGTACAATTACAACATTTAAGAGGCATCTGAATGAGGTATATGAATGGGAAGGGTTTAGAGGGATATGGGCCAAATGCTGGCAAATGAGACTAGGTTTATTTAGGATATCTGGTCAGCATGGACAAGTTAGGCTGAAGGGCCTGTTTCCATTCTGTACAGCACCATGACTCTATGACTCTAAGTTAAACCCTAGAGTTCATAGAATGCTTTTGAGATAGGTTTTCGATAGAGCAGCATATTCTGGAACTGCCCCGAAAACAGGTTACACTAGCGTTGGTATTGTGTAATGTAAGAGGATTAATTAAACTGTAGAGTAGAGGCATCCCTAGGGAGCAGTGAATTTGAAGGGGAGAAAATTGAGTGTAAGACTAAAACATTTTAAACAAGGGAGACCATTTGAGAATTAAATTGAGCTTGCTGAACTGAACAGGGGATAAGGGATAAGGCTAGGGGATAAATCCTGAGATACAGTGGCAAAAAATTAATGGGGGATTTCAGAAAACTTGGTGCAGACATATTCCTGCAACAATGAAAAATTCCGAGGAGAGACCTAATATCTGAAGAAGTTAAGAAAGCAACAAACTTAAAGAAAAGCATATAATTGTATAAAGACAAGTGACTGCTCGGATGACTGGACAGAATGTAAACAACAGCAGAGAATGACTATCAAATCAATCAGAAGAAATACATAAAAGTATAAAAAGAAGCTAGTTAGAAATGAAACAATGGATTGAAAAACTTTCTACAGGTGTTTAAAAAGGTAAAGAATAAATAAATGTGTGCTAAAATTAAACCAAAGAACTCTGGATGTTGGAAATCAAACAAAAATGGAAATCGCTGGAAAAATTCAGCAGCTCTGTCAGCATCTGTGGAGATAAAACAGAGGTAACATTTCAGGTGCAGTGACCCTTCTTCAGAGCTGTGTGGTAGCTCTCCAGCGAGTGAGAATAGTGGGTCAATAACAGTTAATGATGAAGCGGTGGATAAAATGAACAAACATTTTGCTTCTGTCTTCCTGGGATGCAAAAAAAAATTGCAATAACAGGTGTAGATCAGGAAACAGAAGGGAGACAGGAACTTGATGAAATTACAAACACTAGGGAAGTGTGACTGAGTAAATGACGCAGCTGGGGACTGATAGGTCCCTGGGTCCTGATGGACTTCATTCTAGGATAATAATAGAGATGGCTAGTGAGGTAGTAGATGCATCAGTGATAACTTTTCCGAAACTCCCTAGATTCAGGAAAGATTCTATCAGACTGGAAAGTAGCAAATACAACCCCTTTATTCAAGAAGGGACGAGAGCAGAAAACTAAACTATAGGTCAGTTAGCATGAGATCTGTCACTGAGAAACTGTCAATATCAATTATTAATGAGGTGACTGCTGTAGGCTTAGGAAAATGCAAGGTAATTCAGAAGAGCCAGCATGGGTTTGTGAAAAGAAAACTATAGTTAAACGATTTGTTTGAAGAGTTAGGGGCCTGAGGTCAAAGCACACAAGGGTAGCTTGTGGAATTTAAATTGAGTCAAAAATTCTGGAACTTAAAGCTAGTCTCAGTAATAATAATCATGACCATTATCGTTGACTATTGTAAACACTCATTGAGCTCACTTAATGTTCTTAAAGGTAGAAAGTATACTATACTTAGCTCGTCTTGCTTACGTGTGGCTTCAGACCCACGCCAATATGATTGACTTTGATATGGCCTAGCAAACCACTCAGTTCAAAGGTGATTAAGGCTGGGCAACAATTGCTGGCCTTGCCTTGAAGGAATAATAACATTACAGCTTTTTACTGCTGTGTACTGTCAGTTTCAGATCTAACTCTGTCACTTTTCTTCAGAGCATTCCTTTCCTTTGCTTTTTCATTAGTTTGAGTATGATTGCTGTCAGCTTTACCAGACATTGCCTAAGATTGCCATACATATTGTACTTCAGGTGGCTTCACCTGTCTCCCTTTGCCATACAATTCTTTTGAGCATGAGGCTACAATGTTTTTTAAATTGAGCATTCTTGTTTCTGACTCTTTGAACATATCTTCAGTAAAAGAAATTTCATTCTGCAGCACATTTACTGAAAGTCATGGATTGTTTTTTAAACTCCTGATGTTTTCCTGTCTTCAGTTTCAAAACCTCAACAGGTTTTCCTTAAACCACTGGAGAGAGCCAAAGCTTATTGACCACCAAGGGATTTCCCATTAAAAAATATCTAAACGACCAATGGCAAATTATGAAGAATCTCAACTGTTACAGGATTGAAAATTAAAGCATTTTAAAAATTGACTCCATACAATCAGCATGTAGACAAATTCTCACAGATATTATACTGAAACATTTTATTTAGCAAATTTTCTTGACAGCAATTTGTATCACTTGCCACCATCAACAATTGTGTTGATATCGCTTCTAAATTAGCTCAAGAATGAGAAGTTTAACCTTTAAATAAAGCTGCCACAATGAGGCAATTTCCTTGTCATTATAGCAATGAGTACAGAGGAACCTAATGATTTCTAAACAATTTTACCCATTTGCACTGTATTTTCTGATAACATTCAGCTGTCACACGTCTTGTTTATGACCAAGAAAACATGCCAACATCTTTGAAAAAATCCTAACCTCCAGATAACCTCTCATATCTACTCTAAGATTCTGTTTCTCATGTCCACACCAGCCATTTCATTTGCTTTGGCCTGCTATCTTATCTCTTCAGTTTCTTGGTGAGGTTGTGGAGACAGGCTTGTTGCTAATTTGCTTATAAGATAACTTGCTTTCATCCAAAGATTTCCTTATCTTGGAAACTTTGTGATGTTCTAGGGAGAGAACTGGTTCCTTGGTCAGGTTCTCTCTTGTTGGAGATGGTCATTGCCTCATATTTGTGTAGCATGAATATCACTTGTGATATCACTGAAACCCCAATATCAACATCCTGGGCTTACCATTGACCAGAATCTCAACTAGATTCATCACATCAACGCAGTGGCTACAAGACCAGATCAGACGCTAGGAATATTGCAGAAAGTAACTCACCCTCTGACTCCCCAAAGCCTGTCCATCAGCTACAATGGACAAGTCAGCAGTGTGATGGAATACTCCCACTTGCCTGGATGGGTGCAGTCCCAACAACACTCAAGAAGCTTGACACCATCCAGGACAAAGCAGCCCGCTTGATTGGCACGATGTTCAGAAGCATCCGCTCTCTCCACCGCTCACACACAGTTGCAACACTGTGTCCTGTTTACAAGATGCACTGCAGAAATTCACCCAAGGTCTTCAGACAGCACCTTCCAAATGCAGGACCAAGTCTATCTAGAAAGACAAGGGCAGCAGATACATGGGAACACCACCACCTCCAAGTTCCCCTTCAAGCCACTCACCATCCTGACTTGGAAATATATCATTGTGTCCTTCACTATCGCTGAGTCAAAATCCTAGAACTCCCTCTCTGATGGCATTGTGGGTTAACCCACGGAAGGTGGACTGCAGCGGTTCAAGAAGGCAGCTCATTACTACCTTCTCAAGGGCAGCGAGGGACGGGTAATAAATCCTGGCCAGCTAGCGATGCCCACATCCTATAAGTGAATATAAAAAATCGGTTCGGGTGGAGCCAAGAAACAGGAAAGGGAGCAAACATTGGTTGGAATTATTTATAGGTAACCAGATTGTAATGGTAATGTTGGACATGGAATAAATCCGGCAACTACAGACGTGTGTAATGTGAATAATCGGAGGAGATTTCAATTTACATAGGCTAGATTAACCAAATCAGAACTAATGCTGTGAAGGATAAATTCCTTGATTGTATACCAGATGGGTTTCTGGAGTAGTACATTAAGAAGCTAAATCAGGCTATTTTGGGTTTAGTGCTGATTAATGAGAAGGGGATAATTAATAAACTTGCTCTAAAGAAGGCTTTGGGAAATAGTCACCACAATATGATGAAACTTCTCATTAAGTTTGAACAAAATATAATTCATGGTGAAAGTAGGCTCTTAAAACTGAAGCAAGGAAGATTATAAAAGTATGAGGGGCAGATGGGTTATGGTCGATTGGAAAGCACTATAAAAGATTTGATGGTAGACAGGCAATGACTAGTATGTGAAGGTACACCACATGACCTACAGCAGATTACACACTCCTCTAGGCACAAACACCCAGTGATAAGTGATCTACCATTCACAAAAGAAGTTAGAAATATCTTTAAATCAAAGGTAGTGCCTTAGAAGAATGCCGGAAAAAATGATAAATCTGAGGACTGGGAGCAATTTAGAGCCTAGCAAAGGAGGATCAAGTAACTGATCAAGAAAGGGGAAAAGAATATGAAAGCAAACTAGTGCAGAATTGCTATTCATTGTCTCTTCTTGGAATGGCATTGTAAGTACTTAGTAAGAGCGAAATCAGGTTCTGCTATCCTGGCACCTCAAACCAAAAATGGTATTGTCAGGATAAATACGTGCACTGACATGTAGTCAGAGTATCTTTGTTTTTTTACCATGTATCTATGACAACAAAGGAAGAGATGTATTGGGGCTTGATTTCGCAAGGTATTCAGCAGATGTGAGCAGCAGTAGAACAATCACTGCCTAAGATCTTCAAAGCTAAATAAGGAACCAGTGGTCCAAGGTGAAACAGTCTGAATCCTATGGTTCAGTAAGATTCCAGTGATGATTTTCAAACGCCAATGGGGAGTGTGCACATGGACCTCCTGGAGGCAACTCCGAAAAGCTCATGTTTCTTCTTTCTTTTAGGGATGATGAATTCTTTGTACAGCTAGGAAGAGCAGGAATGCTCAATGCAGTAACAGCTTGGAAATAATTGCCACATTTTTCAGACGCATTACATCTGAGACCATGTACCAATTTGCATTCAACCAAATTAAAATATTTGAATGTTTGGGTCCCCTGTGCTGTCAGAGGCAGTTGTCTTCTCCATATCCCTCAATGTTTAACATTGGCTGCAATTTTACAGTCACCCCTGAACGTGTTTGCAGGTGAGGGGACCGTCTGCAAAACTCAGTGGTTTGCCTTCCCTCCACCCTGCTACCCCAACCTGGCAGCAGGTTTCAGAGCGGGCGAAACCTCTTCCTACCCACTTCCACCTCATTTGAGGCCCTCAATTGGCCACTTAAGAGCTGCTTGCATAGCCACAATTTTGTTGCCAGTGGATGAAGTTTGGGGATAAGGAAGAATCCTGGTAGATCATCCTGCTTGGGTGTCAGGTGGGAAACAGAGAAGGGTGGGTGCCTCTATGACTAGCCTCGCTCTCCAGATCCCCTGGATCCTCCCTTCCCACCTGATCCTGAAATCAGGAACTCTTCCAACACCCCACCACCCACCACCCACAAATCCCAACCTCTACCTCTTCCCTCAATCCCTGGGTCTTCCCTTTTTGTCCTACCATGGACCCTGCGCCGACAGTACTAGTGGGAAGGCTTATAATTCCAGCAGTGGCTGCTTCTCCTGATAGCATGATTGGAACTATAGATTTGCTGGGCAATCAGATGGCCAGCGGCTATCTGTCTTCCTGAGTGAGGGGTAGTTTTGCTGCCTCCAGCCAATTACCCCTCTTTAGAGCATTACCTGACCACAGTTATAGACACTTCTATAAGATCATAAAACAATGAGATATATGAGCTGAATTAGGCCATTAGCCCATCAAGTCCGCTCCGCTGTTCAAACATGGCTGATATGTTTCTCGACCCCATTCTCCCCGTAACCCTTGATCCCCTTATTAACTGAGAACCTATCTATCTCTGTCTTAAGTACGCTCAATGACTTAGCCTCCACTGCCCACTGTGGCAATGAGTTCCATAGATTCACCACCCTATGGCTGAACAAATTCCTCCTCATCTCAGTTCTAAAGGATTGTCCTGTCACTCTGAGGCTGTGCCTTGAGTCCTAGTCTCTCCTACTAGTGGAAACATCTTATATACCTCCACTTTATCCAGGCGTCTCAGTATTCTGTTATCGCACCCACGACTCTCTGATGGCAGGGTGGGAAATCCTGCCCATTGTATTTACCATGTATCACATGTAGAACAAAGTGTTGAAGGGAGTCCCTACATGTTTTTGTTGTTGGATTCCAGCATCAAAAAGTACAACTATTCCTCAAATGGGTAACAATTAAAACTGATATACAATTCAAAACAGATCTTTGGTTTCAGATTTTACTTATCTGCTTTTCTATGTTAGTAGATGGCAGGCTGTGAACAGTACCACAGGGCAAAGGTCAAGGAAGAAATCTGCTTCTCTGAGGCTGAACTCAAGCAGATGCAAAACTACATTCTATTGGAAAACTCAGAACTCTTGTTTTTGTTGTGTTTGCCTCAAGAGTTATGGTTGCTATTGATATGTTTGCCTGTCTCTGAAACTACACTGTCCCTTTCATGCTGATACAATGTGACGCTATTCACTTATAATTGTGTAATGAAGGCAAATTCTGTTGGAAATAGAATGAAGGTGTACAACGACAGGCATGCATCCTTTGTTCGTACTGTGAATTTAGTAGTTCTGAAAAATAAAGGGAACAAAGTGTTTTTTCAAAATAAAAGAAAATCATAACTGTTGTTATCTTCGTTTCTAGTGATGTAATGAAGCTGGGAGTTACTCTTTCTGGACATCAGAAGAAGATAGTGAGCAGCATTAAGCAACTGGAAACACAGACCAAGAACAGTCCGGTTGCAGTGTAAACTTAAAGACAAGTCTTTGTGCAACAATGGATGTAACCAATGAGAATGACACTGTAGTGGTACAGGGATTGGTATTAATGCAATGGAGGCACATAGAAATGTGCAAACTACGAGACCCATTAAGATATATGGATTCAGTACTTTAATTAGAATAATTAAAATCTTTCTTGGAGATTAATGAATGAGAATGAAGTGTAATTTGCCACACTGAGGATCCTTTTGAAACAAGGTAAACAGTTAAAACCTCTTGTCAGATTCAGAAATCACTTTCATTTGATTTTGATATCATATAATGCTCAGTGTGGGGTAATGGACACTGAGTTGCTTGGTAAATGATACTTGACTGCAAATGACCTCTTGTTAAACTTGCAAAAGCACCACCAAATGCATTGATTCTTAACTACGTGTCAGTAAGCTGGAATAAACAATGGACGTCAGTGACTACGCTGTACATAGCTATTTTCATCAACTCAAGAAATAACTTGCATTTAAACATTACTTTTCACGTTCTTACAACATCATAAAATATTTGACAAGCAATGGAGTTGTTTATGAATTATCATCACTTTAGTAAAATAATAAACACAACAGTCAAATTAACTACATAAGATCCCACTAATAGCTTAGATATTCCCTAATAATCTACTTTAGTGATGTTGGGTAAAGATGTTGGGTCATGGACGTGTGTTGAAGCTAAGAGGCTTCTTCCCTGTATCATTAAAAATCTCTTCCCAACTCCATAATCAGAGATTCTGTGATGTAGAAAGTTCTGAAGCTTGACTTGCTTGCTTCTTATTAGAGATGTAAGAAGCAAACACTTTTGGTTTTGATTCCCTGTAATGATCTGGTTCTTTTTCTCAGAAGGAACTTGCTCTTCTAACCGTAGCTGCAGTTACTGTAGCTGCATTTCCTTGGTAAGTTCTGTGAAATACATGTACAACTTCACTTTTTTTTTAGAAGAAGAACTGATTCTCCACAAAGGAGCATCTTGTTTTTGCTTTGCTATCTGAATCTAAAAATATCCAAACATCTCAGACTCCAGTAAATGAATGACCTGAATGTGGAATTCCTTCTTTGCGACTAAATGTGTTCATGTAGCCACCTTATCTCCTTTTGTATACCAAGCAACATTGTTAATCAATAATTGAGTTGTGGTTTCGAAGAAGGACATTCAACTTCCTTCTGTTGGATCTATGTAGGCTCTCAATGCAGCAATCCAGTCAGTTCCATTTAACACTCCATCCCTGTAACTCTGTAAATTTATTTCCCTAAATTTCCTTTTTGCTGACAAATCATCAATGAAGGAGCATCAACACCTCACTGAGGTAAAGATTTGCAAGTGGTGATTATGTTGTCCACTCACATAATTATTGTACTTAAAAGGGCAGAGGTTTCACATTCTGTGTTAAGTAGTGTACTTCCTAGCTCCCCGAAGGCTTTCTGCCATTTGCATGGCTTAAGTTAATAGTGTGTTGGGATACATTCCATTTGCTGGGATCAGTATAGCTCCAATAATATGTAAAAAGCTTGGCATGTCCAGGCTAAACTTGCCTGTTTGATTGAAACTGTAGAACCATAGAAGAATTGAAGCAAAGAAAGAGAACACACAGACTATTGCCTAGGCCACTCAAAAAGCAGCACCCATTCTAATCCCACTTCCCAGCACCTGGTCTATAGCTTGCAGGTCACAGCTGTTCAGGTGCAGATTCAACGTTCTTTTAAATAAGGTGGGGGTTTCCACCTCATCCAGCTAACTGGGCTGTGAATTCCAGACACTTGCAAACTGGGTCTGATTGCCATTCCTCAAAAAATCTGGATCATTGTGTTGTAGCAATTCCATATGACTGCACGGGTTCAAGGAGATTACTCAATACCACAACATTCACAAAGGTATTTAGGGATGGTCAATAACAGAACAGATGTGGACCTTGGAGTGTAGGTTCATAGTTCCTTGAAAGTGGACTCACAGGTAGATGAAATACTGAAGAAGGTGTTTGATATGCTTGCTGTTACTGGTCAATGCATTGAGTATAGGAGTTGGGAGGTCATGTTGCGGCTGTGTAGGACATTGGTTAGGCCACTTTTGGAATACTGCATGCTATTCTGGTCTCCCTGCTGTAGGAAGGATGTTGCTAAACTTGAAAGGGTTCAGAAAAGATTTACAAGGATGTTGCCGGGATTGGAGGGTTTGATCTACAGGGAGCGGCTAAATAGACTGGGGCTATTTTCCCTGGAGTGTCGTAAGCTGAGGGTGACCTTACTGAGGTTTATAAATCATGAGGGGCATGGACAGGGTAAATAGAAAAGGTCTTTTCGTGGGGTGGGGGAGTCCAAAACTAGAGAGCATAGGTTTAAGGTGAGAGGGGAAAGATTAAAAGGGACCATAGGAACAACTTTTTCACACAGAGGGCGGTGCGTGTATGGAATGAGCTGCAAGAGGAAATGGTGGAGACTGATACAATTACAACTTTTAAAAGGCATCTGGATGGGTATATGAATAGGAAGGGTTTAGAGGGATATGGGCCAAATGCTGGCAAATAGGACTAGATTTATTTAGGATATCTGCTAGGCATGGATGAGTTGGACTGTAGGGTCTGTTTCCATGCTGTACATTTCTACAACTCTATGACTATACTTTGCTAAGAATTTCCCATACCTTTGCTCTCATGCACTTTTCTCAAAAAGTCACAATCAGTAAGGAGATCTAACACGAGACCAATTTCACAAGCTCAGCATTCTACAAAATATAGTATCAACTGTTTGAAAACAAAGACCACCACAAGCTAATGGAAGTGTGAGTGTACAGAGCAGCTGTTGCCACTGGGCTCCTATGCTACAGCAAGACACAGCCTAAAAACTGCAAGAGAAATTCTATCATAAATCCCTTGGTTGCATCCTTCAGATTCAACAGTGAGATGATTAAACAAGTACTGATGGACTTCTCTATGGCAGTTCTCGGAGCATTAAGTCTTAACTCCTGCAAACTATGATGGACTGGGCTCTTTGCCTGGAAGGTTATAAACTATCTCGCTCTCCAGGTTCTATTTTCTAAACTGACACGTGACCAATGTTCCCGGGGAAGGACACAGAAAATGCTGTCACAACTCCCTGAAGGCTGCTTGAAATGTGGAATCATTGACTTTAAAGGACTGGAAGGAGCTTGTACTAATTGTCCAAAATTGCAATGACAAGTTCATCAAGCTGCATCTTGAGTCAAAATAACTATAGGGGTGACCTGTACCTGGCAATATAAGATGGCTAGTACGTGAACACACTAAGTGGCCCATGCCTGCTTTCAAGATGGCAGACAGAAGCGAAGCAAAACTAAGCAGCCTATTCACACAGTGAAATACAATGGTACCTTTGAACAGAACTGCTACGCGGTCAGTAAAAGAACGCTGTATGTTCCCATCCGAGACAGTTCTGATCAAAGGATGCCTTAGGATAGATAAATGACCAATTCCAGCTTTATTAATGAAAGGATGATTGTTCCAGTAAATGTATAACATCGGTGCTAGATTAAGTCCCTAAGCAGCTGCAACCATAACAGCTAAAGTTATTTCGTAGTAAATAGTTGATTCTTTGAAGCCACCTGCAATATTAGATAATTTCTGTTTGAAAATGCTTCAATCATAGAAGTTGGTTTCAACGCATAACCAGAATATAATACAAGCCTTAAAAAAAAGCCTAGATGTGAAGGTTAACTAGCCTTAGGAGACACCTCTTATGCCCTGAATGAGATAGATTGCTCACAACCCATAAATTACAAAAAGCTAACAGTAGAAGTAGTTGTATAATGTTACACTTTATAATTAACTTTATAACAGAAGTTAACCTTATAGCAATTAGTTAATTAGACAATTAGAATTTTTATTTTAATATTATGGAATTGGGACAGTGGGAAATTAGAGGAATGGCTGAATTTGATAAAATAAAGTGCATGTAGTACAATGAATAATAGAATTCACACTATCCTTGGAGACAACAAGCCTGAGACAGATCTGGAAAGGAAACAGGCAGTCAGAGACTTTGAAAAGTCCTTTCCTTGCCTTCTCTTCTAGGTACCACTGACTGAACATCTTGAAATCTTTCTCTTGCCTGATCGTCTCAATGCCTTTTGTGCAACGTCAGAAATCACACGACACCAGGTTATAGTCCAACAGTTTATTTGAAAACACAAGCTTTCGGAGCCTCAGTCCTTCTTCAGGTGTTAGTGAAAGAGTTAGTATCAGACACAGAATTTATAAGTAAAAGTTCAAAGGTTCACACTATTGATGAGGCTGTATTAAACAAACCTAAAACACACACACGCGTGCGCACACACACACACACACACACACACACACACACACACTCTCTCCCACACACTCTCGCTCCCTCGCATACATAAACAAACCTAACTCTCACACACACACACACACACACACACTCTCTCCCACACACACACTCTTGCTCCCTCACACACATACACAATCTCTCTCCCTCACACACATACACAGACACACACAGTGATGCTCTCCCCCCCTCACAAACACACACACAATCTCGCCCCCCTCTGTCTCACACACACACACACACACATACACGTGAATCTATTGAGTGAATTCATATTTGCAGATACATTTTATTTTGTTCAAAAAGCACACAATTTATAGACACTCAGTCAATATGGTGTTTTATAAATTCCTACTTTAGAAATAAAACCAGTCTGATTCCAAACTAAAACATCAACAGGTTCTAAACAAAGGTTCACGGCTAACATGCATTGTCTGACCTAAAATGTCACCTCTTCTTTACACTGATAAAACCTTTAATGCTCTCAGGGCTGTGAGTTTCCTGCTTCTCTGATGTTGCCTGGTCTGCTGTGCTCCTCCAGTTCCACGCTGTTATATCTGCAGAAAGAGGATGCTTTTTCTGGAAGAATTCTTAGAAATATATGAAAAAGTAAAAAAGTTCTTACAGATGCGAGTCTGAAAGTCAATTGCCCTAACAGCAATGATGATCTTCTACTTTCAGATGGAGTTCGGTAAATATTCTTCAGAGAAGCTGTGATTCTACTTCATCTCCATGCTCACCTTCCCAGTTAAGGACCGTTTGGAATATCGTTTGGAACCTCCAAGACAGCAGAGTATAAAACAATTGTATAAACCCATACTCAGTCTCCAGCAGTTGATTCTTTAAAAATCATGAAGACATATGGGGTCTCAAACTATTGAAGCAGCTCTACAAAACAGATCAGTACATTGCAATTACCATACATAGTTATGGCATGAAGCTTACCTAAAATGGCTCTGTCAGATATCAAAGAAACTTTTTTTTATTCATTCACGGGATGTGGGCATCACTGACTTGCCAGCATTTATTGCTCCTCCCTAGGGGTCCTTGAGAAGGTGGTGGTGAACTGCCTTCTTGAACTGCTGCAGGTAGACCCACAATGCACT